TTGAGAAGAGTTACCTGCTACGACTTTACACAAACACCTTATAGGTATTACCCTTAGGAACCTCTTCACGTGATAAACATGTAGACAAACATTTTCTCTACCCAAATAAGCATAATCATAATGTATTAAACTTCAATAAAAACACTAAATTTCCTAACAAACTTTTAGACTTACTAAAGAAGGGCAATGGTATTGAACTTGATTTCAGGAATCTCTACTTGGAATGAAGTCACCAAACACATGTCTGAATGTCACAAACAAAATAGAAAATAAAGCAAAATTTTCTGATGTTTAGAAATTACCAATATCTCTCTTGGATATAAGATTTCTTTAGGGCTCCAGTTTAGGCTTGTCCAGATGTGGCTGTGTTCTACTAAAAAAAATATAATTCAGCTAAAAAAGAAGGGCCATCCATATAAAATGATCATCCAGGACAATATTGATAAGCTAAGATGTGTGAAATAAGTTACATTTTATCAACATATATAAAACTAATACATGTAAGTGTAATGTACACTTCTAACCTTAATACTAATTCCAATGATTGATTTTTATAGAAAATTACCTCAAGATTCTCACCAGGTTTCAGCCTTGCTATTTCCTCACACTTGTTTCTTCCCCTCCTTTTTTCAATCACTCATTTCTTCTTAGTACTACAAGAGTCAACACCTTTAACCAAAGTCTTTTATATTGTTTCTTAACTTCCTTAGCTCTTTCCTTGATGTGACCAAAAGCATTGAATTAACACTTATAAAACCTGTTTTGATGCCTCTAACCCCTTATCATACACACCCCACCATTTAATGGTACACAGAAGCTTTCCATAACAAACAAACAAAGGATTAAACTTAAAATGCTTAATTTTTTATAAAAAGAGAGCATTGAAATCGTATTTACTATGAATCAATCATTAGATCAGTTGTTTTGATGAGATTTTATTAAAAAATTATAGGGAAAGTGGGAAACACCAAGGAACGCCTAAAGATTAATGAAGAGGCTTAATAAAAAAATAGAAGATACTTAAAGCAAGTATAATTCATTGATTAAGATTACCTAAAAACAAATAGAATAATTTAGAAGATTAAAATTTCACTTAAACGGCTATCAAAACTAAAATGGTCCCTTTTTTAGACTGTTCGGACTAAATTAGCGGATGAAAAAACAGTTTGACAGAAACGCTTAACCAACACCAAAAATTAAATTTTGAAGAAAATTAGCATTACAGCGAGAAATATCAACAGTTGTGAACCAAAATCAGCAAGAAACTTTAATTTTATTAAAACAAGAAGTAAGAAATAAAGCATGGATGCACTGTGAAAATCAACAGTTCTAAACCAAAAGCAGGGATAACTTAAATTTTATTAAAATAAGAAGTAAGGACATATTATAATTAAGAAGATTAAAGATTAAAATTACCTGAAGCAATTCAAGAAGCAGATCGGTTCAGAAAACTGAAAGGGCCGTGGCCTGAGGCTGATCGAGAAAGTAGAGCGAGTCTTGGGCGGGGAGGAGGGTCAGTAGCCGTACCGGAATAACAGCGCCCAGCTTCAGAATTAAGAAACAGATCTGTTGAGAAACTAAAAAGGGTCGTAACTTGCGGTTGATCGAGAAAGCAGAGCGAATCCTAGGGAAGAAGATGGTGAGTAGCGGCGCCTCGGCTGACCGAGAAAGCAGAGCGAATCCTAGGGATGAATATATTTTAGGGTAATTAGCCGGTTTAATTTATCCGTAGGTATATTAGGGGAGGGGAGTTGTTTGATAAGGAAGGGAAACTAATTGCGTTTGGACTTTGGGAAAAGAAGAGCCGAGAGCGGGATTGGGAAAAAATTGGTGCCGCGCGAATTTTCTAAAAGTAAAAATTCGGAGTATTTTTATTCCAATTTTAATTGTAAAAAGTATGGATGTGTGTGAAAACTAATTTGTAATCACGATGACTACATAATCCTTATTAACGACCATTGAAGGTGTGTGGTCGTTAAATATAAATTTCAATCACGACGAACGTATTAGTTACCGTTAAAAGATATTTTTAACGACGATTTTTAGAGTCGTCGTTATAAGATGGTCGTTAAAACATTGGTTTTTAGTAGTGTACGTTATCTTTGTGGTACAATTGATCTCGGCTTATTCTACCACAAAGATGCAAAAGCTGCTTTAATCGAATATGCAGACGCTAGATACTTATCAAATCATCATCAAAAGGTGAAATTTCAAATTGTGTACGTATTTACTTATGGTAGCACCGCAATCTCGTGGAGATCTATGAAGCAGACCTTGACAGCTACATCATCAAATCATTCCGAACTAATTGCTTTGTATGAAACCGGGAGAGAATGCGCGTGGCCGCGATCTATGATTCAACACATCCAAAATGAATGCGGTATGAAACCTCTTACTAGTCACCCTACTGTGATCTATGAAGACAACACTGCATCTATATCTCAGATTAAAGAAAGCTACATCAAAGGAGATAGAATGAAACACATATCACCAAAATTCTTCTCTACCCAGGATCTTGAGAAAGAAGGGAAGATCAACATTCAACAAATCATATCCAGTGAATGTCCAGCCGATCTCTTCACTAAATCATTACCCCCCCCCCCCCCCCCCCCCCCCGAAGAAGTTCATAAAACTTAAAACTTGTATAGAAAATCGGCATGCGCCGCCTTCATAATTTATGCTAAATTGGGGGGGGGGGGGGGGTATTTGAATGCACTGCACTCTTTTTTCCTTCATCAGGTTTTTATCTCCCACTTGATTTTTGCTGATGTTGAGGTTAATTCATATGGATCAAAAGGCCCAACACAGTCCTTTGGTTATCGTTAATATGCTTATGAAGGAAAGGAAATGAGAAAGATGATACAAAGTTTTGCTATCTTTCCTCTTGTTCTCTTTATGAATTTGCCTTTGAGTCTCAGTAGCACCCGCAAGAAGGTATGGGAATCCAATTCTTTCCATCAAGAACCAGAAGAGATATATCAAGAAATATGATGATGTTCATCCGGTTATTAGAGTTTCTTCCTTTCGTTCGTCTATGCTCCGATACCAATTTGTTGAGAAGATGATAAGTTTCTAGAAAATACAAAAGAATAGAAAGATAGAAAGAAGAGAAAGATGGGAGGAAGTGCAACTTTGTTATTCTTGTTGTACGTATGCATAGACCAAAGATTACAAGCATATGTATTAATGTCAACTAACAAACTACCTAACAAACTTTAAACTAATGTGACTAGGTACTACCTAAGCTAATAACCCTAACCCAGTTCCTTACAGACTCCAATGCCTCAGTGACCTGCCGTCCAAGGACTCTGGCACCCTAGTGACAGTTACATTATTGTACTCCAATAGTCATTTATCTTTTCCAATCACCCACGCCCTATTGACCTTCCGCCCCAACGACTTATTTTTTCAATTGCAACTGTACTGATGGAACAACAACTTCCGGTCATTGACATCATCCTCCCAGTTAATTCCATTGTCGTCTCGGACAATGGACACAACTGCCCGACCAGTGAAATGAAATATAATCATCTCAAGCAATGAACGTAACTCTAGAAATTAATCTATGAATAACAGGATGAAACCCTAGCCACCATCCACCTTGCATTGTAATCTTTAGCTGCCACCAGCTTGCCCTTGTACCTCAATTGATGCCCACATCGCCCAAGTAAGCTTAGTCGTGCAAATACCACTGTTGCCTTAAAATGTAGCCGAGTTGCACTACGACTATGTCTTTGAAACCCCAGTTGTGCGAACATGGAGACATTGCTACCCCCATTTGAAATTGTAACCACAGCCTATCTGAAACCTAGCTACAACAATAGTTCGATCATCATCACCCTCCCCTCCTCCTCCCCACTCTCTCCCCTACTCCTCCCTCCCCCCGCTCCTCCCTCCTCCTCCTCCCCCTCCCCCCCCTCTTCTTCTTCTTCTTCTTCTTCTTCTTGAATCTTCTTCTTGCCACTGCCAACAGTTTCTTCCATCTAAACCCCACCTCCAACAGCGGCATCATGCGTTCTCCATGCCATAACCACAAGGATGAGATTGCATGCAATAGTTGAGCAGTTGCAAGAGAACGCATGGAGAATAGTAAAAATTGTGCTGTTGAGATTTGTGAAGAGGAGAGAGAAATGTGCATAACCAAAAATTAGTTGCTTTAATGAGAAAGTGACAAAGTTTTTGGGATAACCAAAAAAGGAAAGTTGGCAAAGTCTAATGGGACGGAGGTAGTATCTTATTAATAAAATACGGAAAATATTACTCCCTCCGTCCCTAATAACTTTGCCTAGTTTGACCGGCACAAAGATTAATAAAGTAAAAACTGTGGTTGAGGTTTGTGGAGTTGAGAGAGAATTAATTGAAACCACTAAGTATATGATAATCAACTAAAATGGTTCTATACAATAACTAGAGTCAATACGACTAGAAACATAACTCGAATCTTAGATGTTTGATGAAAAATTTACTCTTTTGAATAAAAAAATTGATTGATAAACGTGATAAATCTGCTAAATTGAAAAACATGATTACCAAGTGGAATTGAAACTTGAAAAACATTCGCCCGTCGTTAATGTGGTTGGTCCGTTGCGACTTGCGACCACAAAAGGATACTGATCATGATGTTAGGTTGGTCGGACGGGATTGAGCCGACTTTCTAACCCGTACTAAAATAATACGGACTACGATTTTCGAAAATACGAAGTGTACGGAACTACGGAGTACCTTATTTTTTTTTAGAATTTTACAGTAATAAATAAGAATATGAGGGTAAGCTGTAAAGTAGAAAACGCAGAACAGCCGTCATTTTTCCCCGCGGTTGCGGCGCGGCGGCATTGAAAATGCAAACGAGAAGGACAACAAATTCCCACATGATTCACGTGTTCTTAAAATGCTGCGACTTTAGCGGGCGCCGGTCCATTTTCTCTGTCATGTATTCTCCACGTGCTTAACTCCCTTTCTCTATATATTCAAAACAAATCACTCTCTTCAGGTCAAAGAAAAGAATATCTCTCTCTCAACAATCTCTAGATCTTCAATTCATCCAAAAAAATGAGAAGAAACTGCAATTTGGAACTCAGGCTATTCACCCCTTCTGATTCTTACGCTTCTCAACAAGAAGAGAACGACGTCGTTGAACAAATTTCCATGTAAGATTATTCTCTCTTTAATTCACTACATATATAGATATGGATTATATTCGATCTATCTTAGATTTATGTAAGCTCTATTTACTTAAGTAGATTGTTTGTTTGGTTTATTGAAGGTCTTTGGATGGGATAAGATCCAGAATTGGTAATGAAAGGCAGCAGATGACAATATTCTACGACAACGAAGTTGTGGCTTGCGATGTTACAGAGCTTCAGGTATGTATGCCTTAATCTTTCATTTTTCTAGTTTGACATGATCCTGTTTAGATTTAACTAAATAAATGATCCCACTAACATTCAGACCTGAGTTGATGACACCGTTATTAAAAAATGAACCACTACTACATTTTTGGGGTTTCCATACAAAGACTATTTGTAGGGAAATATCATATTTTGTAGGTAGAACGTTTTCTAGACAAAAAAAATTTGTGGCTAAGTTTGTAGGGAAATCATCGAAGCGAAAGATATAACCCGACAAAATTCATAACTTTGTCTACAAAAGTTTATGCATACGAAACTTTTCTAGACAAATAAAATTTGTCTTCCAAGTGCTTTTACCTCAACATTGTTTGTAGGCTCAAGATACTTTTTCCAATAATAATTTGTGGTATGGAAAAATTTTTGTAGATAAAATATATTTTTCTCTACAAATATGTTTTTAATTTGTAGAAAGTAATTGAACGGAGGAATGTCTTTTTCACTACTTTGTAGAGTTATTTGTAGGCCTAAGGTCACAAATGATTTTCTAGGAGACTATTTTGTAGTCTAAAGATATTGGTTGCTGCAAAAAATCATATGTAGGACCTATAATTTGTGGGAACATTTCTGAAACCACAACTAAATGTTTCCACAATTAAAGATTTGGAACATACTCAACTTTGTAAGATAAATTTCAAACAAAGGATGTGCATTATAAAGTTTAACGTACAACTATATATCAAACTAAGTAACATTAAAAACATTAATCCATATCATCGACCTCCAATTCATCATACACCAATTCCTTGACTAGCTACAGAATGTATCTCAAATGTTTCAGCTAATGCATGGCGTTAAAAAGTAAATAACTAAACGTGACAAGAGGTAAGGTCTTGGTAGCCATTGCAGCCTTGATCCTCTATATTTCTTTTCCCGAGCTGAGGACTTTCGTGCTTCAAGCAATTCTTTAAGCCTCTTGGTAGCCATTGCAGCCTCTGTATTTCTTGAAAGAACCTAAAATATATATTAACTTTGTCATGTATGACTTTAATATATTCAAAGATACGTAGAAAGGGAGGAATAATCACCAATTTTAGCGTTGATTCGTATCTAGAAGTTTATGCCTCTCCAATTCATTCCTCCTTCCCTCTTTCTTTAGCTGCCTGCAAAGAAATTCAATATTTCAATGGACTAAGTATTTACTCAAAAAACACATATAAACAATTGATAGTATAGTAACATGCAATTACAATAATGAATATATGTCAAAAAACAACATATCAGCTACCTGCAACAGCATAGAAACTAAACAATGTATGGTTTCTAGTAACACAAACTTTGATTGTCCAATTTCCTTGGTATGGTTTCAGTGAAATAAGTGGATGAACTCTCCAGGTCATAGCCACACGTGTTGGAGGTGATCTAGCAATACAAAATCAACCTTGAACCCCTACAAATTGAATAATATCACACTATTCTAGCAATAACATATAGCACAATTTGAACAAATAAACCTAGCTTGGGACAATCTTTTAACATGGACCAACTTTTTCAATGTTGAATATAAACGAAGATAAAAGTGTCAGTTCCTAATAAGATTAGAAAACGGGGCATGAGAAACTCACTTTCCAGTTTGTTCATGCATAATATGTGCAGCTGATTAGGATGTCATTTCTTGCTTGGGTTTCAATGCACTGCAAGTTGGATCTTTTTCTTAAGCTGAGCCTTTTGTCTTTGCTGTAGAAGTTGAACCTGGTTCTCTTACTTCTTAATGTCAAGTATTTGGAGTATGTAAATATACGTAGTATTATAATTTCTGACAGTCAAGAGAACAATAAAAGACAAAAAATGGTTAGAAAAAAATAAGCATTTGGCACTCATATTACTCCATCCGAGAAAAGGAAAAAGTAGATACTATGCTTCATTAGGTAGGAAGTAATAAAAAATAGTCAAAGTAAATAAGAAATGGTTTCTCTCTACCAATTTGTTACTCGCTCGTAATAAAGTTATCATAGGACAGAGCACACAACAATACACCTTATTATACATGTTCTGATCTTTCTATAGCTACTACATGCCTTTAAATAATTTATACTCCGTATTATCTAACTTTATTACATTACCACTCAACTACCATTTTCTGCAATGTAGTATTTAGTATTTACATATACCTTATTGATATTATATGGGCCTGGTTTTGGTTTAAGATTATTGTCAAACACCTTGGGTGCATAGTTTTCCAAACAAGAATCCGAAGGCCAGATTTAAAAATTCACATGCGTAATACGTTTTAAAGAAGTGGGGCATTAATTTAACAAAAAACAGAAAATTAAACACTGGATGCATAAAGATTTCAAATCATTAGGACATTAACAGATCCCTTAGAAAAGAATGAAGGGTTCAAATCTACTCATGATAAATCCGAATTGGAAATTTAAAATTGCTTTATTTTCTTCAAAGGAAAAAGCTTCGTGATGATACGTCGTAGTAGATTGAGAAGATGAATAAATGAATAATACCTGAACCTGAACGGAGGAAGAAGGAAATACGATTCCGATTTCCGAATGACAGCAACTATGTGCGGCTAGGGAAAAATATACTCCGTATGTATGGTCGTACGAATGGTTTTATTTTAGTTTATACTTTAGGTCTAAATTCCAGAAAGTGCGAGGGAAATGGAAAAACTTAAATTTTCCTAAAACAATACATCTCGCGGCTATTTAGGGTTTTAAAATTTCAATTTCTATGTGAAGGTGGTTAAGGCAGTCATTTAGCCTATCTTTTTTTTTTGGAAAGATTTAGCCTATATTTTTATTTGACTATTTAAGATGTTTTCATTTGAACTGTTTTTAGTCCCAGACCAAATCAGATCAAATCAAATCAGACTAGACCAGACTTCCGTAGTTATAAAATACACAGAGACCACACGTTCACCAAACCAGACCAGACCAGATCAAACCAGATCAGACCAGCAAATTTCAATCCAAAAGAAAACATCCTTAATTATTATACGTATAAATTAATTAGGTGTATCCTCTACAATTCCTCGTACGAGCATTTATTATAAATTGATTAGACGTATACAATTTCTTGTACGAGATTTACAATTCTCTATTAATTAGTACAATTTTAGATACACGACTATTGTATAGTGTTATATGTTAAATATTATCATTATAATTATACAAACAATAGTTTTAGAATATATTTTCTTGAAACGCCTTGCGATCCGTCAATTAGAAATCTCTCAGGAAATAAAAAAAAGTAATAAAATGATAATGTTGTAGTTGATGATTTTTTTGTGAAATGATATTTTTCCATACGCCTTGCGATTTGTATGTAGAGTATTTTTGTGGGAAAAGTGTATAGTAGACAAAATATTTTTTTGTGAGGAAAGGAAATTTCTAGCTACAAAGGACTTTTGTATGAATAGAAATATTTGTATGGAAAATACAATCCAGACAAAAAATAAAATTTGTGGGGGAAAGAGGTATTTAGCTACAAATTTAACTTTGTATGGACGATTTTTGTGGGCTAAGCTAAATTTTCTAGTAGTGAACATATGTAATTGATATTGAATTGATAAATTAAGAACAAAATAAAAATTATTTAGAATCACACAAATTTATCAAATTTCGTATGTGACAATTAATCTTAAGAGAACAGGTTGAAAACAAAAAATGGGACAATCTTAGTGGAACGGATAGATCGAGTAATTGCTAGACATGTCTAACACATTAATGTCGTCACTATATTAATTAAGATCATCAGCTATATAATTTTCCATACCAAATTGATCTTCTATAGTAATTTTAGTCGATTCGGCCGAAAAAATAACTTCAACTTTACTTATTTTGATTATTATAAAATTTGATCAGCGCGCAAAATCGAAAGTTACATGAAAAGTTAACTAGTAAAACCAAAAATTGTAAAACAAAATCACCAAATGGGATCTATCTAAGTTTATGAACGGAATATTAATTAAATTTGAGAGAAAGCTAACTTAAAGCAATGTTTGGTAATAAACTAATTTATTTGGTTATTCGAATTTGAGAGAAAACTAATTTAAAGCAATATTTATTGACATAAAGTTTACATCAAAACGCTGCCCCTTGCAGCGTTTCAAAAAACGGCGCTTAGGTTCAACCATTTCAACTAGCTAAAATGAGTCAAACAAACTTATTTTGGCTGATCACTCATTTACCAAAAATTGTAAGAAACAGTAAGAAAATGCTATCTATGTACTACGGAGTTTTTTGTTTTTTGCTATGGTATGTACTATGTACTATACCTTCGGTTTGAATGTGTGTGCGTGAAGCGTGGTAAAATACCTTAATTAATTACCTTACTATTTCAAAACATTTGTTAAAATCAATTGAGTATTTTCATGTTGTGATTTAGTGTAATTTTAGCATTAACAAAAGTTAGAGTTGGGGAAAAAATTATGATAAATGTAAAAAGCTAGTAAATAGAGATAGTTAAATAATAAAATTAGGGAAAGAACCCGTCAGTAAATTAAATAACTTTTAGAATTCCAATACAATTATTATGTTTTTCTTTTTTAAATAGGAGTAATATGATTGTATTTAACTATTTACTATTATCTTGGAGTCATTATTGCTGATAAAACATTAACACGATAATATTTACTGTCATTTACGTTAACATTTTCAATCGTGGTGGTAATAAACTACGGAGTAATACGTAGTAATTCATATTTCGGAGGGGAAAATATAGGAGTTTTATAGAGGACTTTAGTACTGCACGACGAAAATCGAGGAAGCAATTTCTTGAGATTATTACAATGGGTTTTTTACAAGAATATCACTAAAATAAAACATATTTACATAAATATGACTATTCATTACTACAATGTGGTGTTGTGGTAACTTAAGTTCAAAACTTGAACATAAATTACTATGATTTCATTACTACTCTAGTCACTAATCACATTTTTGTAAATCATCTTCATTTTGGTCATGTTTATGTAATTATTTCTTATTACAATATCAATAGTAATTAGTAAATGGCTTTTTTAGGTGGACCTTAAGGTATGAATTTGATTAAAAAGTGGTCAAGTAATGAATAAATTTCATGAATAATGCATGCAGGCTAGAGCCATAATAATGATTGCTAGTGAAGAAAGATGGAAAACGACAGTTTCGGAGCCATCTTCACCATTAATGCAACCCCAACTGTGCAGGCCCCCAGCCCTTACTACCGATAATGGCCTTTCAATGAAGAAATCACTGCAAAGATTCCTTCACAAGAGAAAAAACAGGGTGCAATCAACTCCTTATCATCGCTAGCTCATACATTATTTAATTCATTTGCCCCACTTAAATTAATCAGAGAGCATGCAATATAATGCCTTGTTTATGTTTGTATGTACTCTTTATATGTATACATATGTGTATTTTTATATATACATCGTTCAAGATCTTCAATTGATTTCTTGTATTCACAAAAAAGTTCAGAAAACTAATTTAAGAACTAAGATTGAGCAGTGAGGATCCAGGAAAAACGCTCATTGGGGCAAAGCAGTACTGCTAATAATTATGATTATGAACATATATGGCACAACTCTGATTGATTTGGTCCATCTTAAACTTATCAATGTGTTCAGGACTTTCGATATCTTTTACATTAGAAGTTATTGCCTTAAATGGGATTTAAACGTTGCCTAAATTCCTAATTAGGATTTCAAGTTTATTACTTCGTATACCATAAACAGGACTAAAATTACAGTTTTACCCTTGATGTACTTTGCAATTGTTTTCATGAAGAATACAAATGAGAACATCGTTTTAGGCCTTACTTTTAAGTACTCCCTCTGTATATATTTAATTGTCACAGTTTCCTTTTTTGGTGTATCAAATTAATTGTCTTCTTTTTTTGGGTAAGAATCCCACTCAAAAAACTAGGGGTGGGCATAACGGTTTGGTTTAACCGAATCGTACCAAACCGAACTAAACCGAACCGAAACTGGACCGTATGCAACTTGATTTGAGTTTGGTACTATTTCTTTCAAACCGTATTAAACCGAACCGAACCGATAAAAACCGAACCGAACTAAAGAAACCTAAAAAAATTCATACTTTATTAACATTGGCGGTTTGATTTGGTTTGGTTTGGGTTTACTTAAATAAACCGTTTGGTAAATATTTGCTCAAACCGAATGGTTTGGTACTTTGGTTTGGTTTGTTTTAAAACGGAACACCAAACAACATATATATATATATATATATATATATATATATATATATATATATATATATATATATATATATATATATAATTTGCATATCTTCACTCTTTGCATTTATCTTCACTCTTCATTTTTAAGATATAAATATATAATTTAGACATGAATATGCATATTTAAGCATATACATACTCGTATCATTTTCATTTTTATACATTTCATACATTTATTATGACAAAGTTAGCTAATACGACATATCTGTACGGAGTATTTATTATGTTTGGCGATAACAATAGCAAATTGCATTTGTATTTTTACATGATTCATTTGAATAAAATTGTGAATATTACAACATTTGTACCACCGACTCTTTTAGGTTTTTTGAATATTTTATGTGATATTACAAATGTTAATCAACTATCCTATTTTTTGTAAGAAGTGAATTTTTTGTAGTGATAAAAAAGATGTTAGAACTTTTAATTTATAATATTTTATTATTTATTTTTCTATCATTTATTTCCTTTTACATTTTATTTAAATAATCAATAAATTAAAAAAAGATGAGATGAACTATTACTTTCATTTTCTAATTCTAAAATATAGAACTTGATCAAATAAAATAATAAACGTAAGCAAACGAATCAAACCAAACTAAATTAAATTAAACATAATATTTTTTACTTTGATAAACCGAACTTCAAACCGCCGAACCGAAACCGAACCGAAACCAAACCGAAACACAAATGGTTTTAGTTTGGTACAAAATTCTCCCAACCCGAATAAACGTAACCGAAACCGAACCGAAACTGAAGAAAACCGAACCGTAAACCGAATTGTCCACCCTACAAAAAACAGCTACAGTATCACCACAATACCGCTACAGTACTAAAAATCTCTTACTTTTTATAAAGTTTACAGTAGTTATGTTAAACTCTGTGAAAAGTAAATGGATCAACTAATTAGATACGGAGGGATTAACTCTTATGGTTAAGTAAAATATACTTTATTTTTCACTTATAAATTAGATTTAGTTTCATCTACTAATTTAATTGGTTATTCGAATAAGTCAGAAGTATGATATTATGGATCTTATAATCACATTGAAAGTAAAATATACACGACTTTAATCATTTATACTTCTTCCGTTTTTTAAAAAAGGTTCAGATTTTGAAAATTTAAGATGACATAACTGTATCAGTATTTTGAAAAAAAAAACAATTTCTAATACGTTAATAATATGTAGTGTGAGATGTAGTTAGAGTAGAACATGTAAATAGTATAAAATCCACATATTCTTATTATATAAGAGCGTCAGTAATATAAAATATCTTCTTAAAAGTCATTGGGGACAAATTCTTCCAATCAGATAAAACTAGCTTAGTCTTAATTTAGCCGAGGCGTTGCCCACTTGCCCCGTCCCCCGGGGATATTTGTAGTTGAAAAAATGGCCTGAATACGACTTCCGCACTCTTCAATTTCAAAACTATGACCATTTTTCAGTTTCCCAAAAATCTGACCTCATTTAATTATAACAGGTTGTTACTGTAACACCGCCCCCAAGTATTTGTACTTTACCGAATTATGTATTGAACTCTGGGAAATGAATAAATGCATTTTTCGTAATTGTAAATGTTTATCATTTCTTTTACGTGAATAGTAAAATTCACGTGGGGCCCACACCAGAAGTGGGGGCCGCCCGATATTATCGGGACCGCATATTATATTCATTTGGGTCAAGATAATATGTGTATAATGGTGGATAGCCTGGTTGGGCCACAGAAGTTATGTGAGCAACCAGTTGAGCATGTGAAGCCCATTTATCGGTACCGAAGTAATATCAGATAAAAAGCCATAATAAATTATGGAGACCACCAAATTGAAAGTTGGGGAATATACATTCATTCTTATAACCAATAATAATTGGAAGGAGGATAGATATTTCATTTTACCCAATAAAACGAAATATAGTTAAAACAGTCCGGAAAATACAACTTTCGGGACCAAGTATACACTTGGGGACACAAAGGGATGACCACCCATCAAAGTGGGGGCCACCCCACGTTTTTCCAGCCCTTGATTGAAGAGAGGAGTGTGCAAATGCTGACTTAAAATGATAGAGGCAGGCCAAGGGGGGAGGTGGAGACAAGAGTTGACTCCAAAGGGACCCCTCACCTCTTATCATCATAGAATAAGCCAAACTACACCCCAATCACTCCCTATTATCATCCATTCGAACCAAGCCTTCATCCTGGAGGAGAGAAGGTCTGCAAATCTCCATTTCTATCACCCATACTTGCACCAAGGCTAAGGGAGAAGAAGGAGGAAAAAGAGAAGGGCAAAGAGGAGAAGAACTTGAGGATTAACAAGGTACTTCAAGGACTTTCACGGAGTTGAAAGGGTCGTCGGAGTTGTCGCCGGAGTTGGTTGAAGTTCACCGGAGTTTCACCGGGGCTAAATCGGGGAGGCTAGAACTTCATAAGCTTCTTTAAGGTGAGAAGACGGCTATATGCTTTATAACTTTTGATTGAGGCATGAGATTACCTAAAGTAATCAAGGATATGTTTTACGGAATGATTAAAGTTAATCAAGTATGGGCTTATGCCATGATTATATAGAAAACAAAGTTGAAAGGCATGTTTTGTATGTTTGGTGATTAAAAATGTGATAACTTATTATGTACAATGATCCAGGGGTCAAAAATGGTATTTTTGGATCAAGGACTTCAAGTAGAATATGCATGTAAAATTTCACGTTAATCGGACTCCGTTTGGGCGGTCAAACGGGCGTTGACCGCCAAGTCAACTACAATACCCGACCGGGTGTCTGCTGAAAAATTGGCCCCAAGGGCCGCTGTCTCCTATACTCGATCGAGTATGGATAGATACTCGATCGAGTATGCCTTGGAAATTAGCCTTACGGGCTCCTGTCTCCTGTACTCGACCGAGTATTAGTGGGTACTCGATCGAGTATTGAGTTATACTCAAAACGGGTAGTTTTTGAGTGGGTTAACGTGGACCGATCAGGCGGGACCCGTCCACGTTGGTTACTAAGGATTGTTATATGACTATAGGACCAGGTATTGTCCATAGTTGAGTGAACGAAAGGTTAGCCATATCCAGGTTAGGGTTTGGTTAGAAATAAGGTTGAGGTTGAGTATCCTCGGGACGGTAAATGATCCTAAAACTCGGTGAGGTTGAGTATCCTCAGGATGGTAAACAATCCTAAAACTCGGTGAGGTTGAGCATCCTCAGGACGGTAAACAATCCTAAAACTCGGTTGAGGTTGAGTATCCTCGGGACGGTAAATGATCCTAAAACTCGGTTGAGGTTGAGTATCCTCGGGACGGTAAATGATCCCAAAACTCGGTTGGGGTTGAGTATCCCCGGGAGGGTTAACACTCCTGAAACTCGGTAGGATATTATGAAGGTAGAATGTAGCTCTTAAGCTAGGCATTCAGGAATGAAAGGGGAAAGTTTGGGTAAGTACCTTGTCTCTAAAAGACTCTTTTGTGAGAAAATGACCTACGGGTCAAGTATTTTACAAGTATATACGGTATGTATTATCTTGGGGATGGGGTAACAATGGTTACACCTATAAGTATATGTACCACCCTATTTTTGGGTCTCGTGTCTGAAACATTAGTTATTCCTCATATAGCCTGCTTGTCACTAGTACTTCTATGGAGTACTGACCCCTTCGGGGGCCCTCACATTTTTCAGGTTAAGGCTAGAGTCCTACTACCTGCACCTTTGCCTAGGGTGACTGATCAAGGAGGAAGACGTGGTTCGTGCTTCCATTCATCTTCAAAACTGATAAACTGCTCATGGATATTTTTAACAATGTTTTCTATTAAAACATTTGGGGGCTTGCGTGCCCGTATTTGCCACGTGTGGCTCAGTATCAAACATATCTTATTTTCCGCATTTGTTTGACTAATATATATTGATGTTGATTGTATGGTTTACTAATCGGCTTGGCAATAGAACTCAACGGACGCCTTGTATGATTTGATAAGGATGAACTACGTTGTTCTTATTGGGTTGTACGGCGGTTGTCTATGTGGCACGGACGCGGTCCGGGGCGTGACAGTTACCCTCTTACTTTCCCCAGCGTCTCAACACTATCCTCATCCTCACCTCTATCAACTCATCCTCAACGACGAAGCCTCAACCGGATCCTAGCTTTAGAGAGCAGATACGAAGAGCACATCAGCAAACTCCTCCACCAAGCAGCACATCGCCGCCGCCTCAGGTCCCCTTCCGTCGCCGTCGCCTCCTCCTCTTCCTTGATCGTCTCTGTTACCGTCGTTTTTTCGTTTGCAATAACACAGCGTCGCGGTCGCCCTACCCCGCTTCTATTTCTTCTTTTTCTGTCCGGCGAAGAAAGTGGTTCG